GGGGTACCACTAAGGTTCCCTAATTCAAGAATTGGATAACCTCATAGGTACCCAAAAATGGGTGACTGAAGTGTCCAGACAGAGTCTACACAGACTCCGAATAGACTCCAGCTAGATTGTCCAAAAATATAGACATTTTGTTGTATTATAGTTGAACTCCATTTAAATCATGTACCTGCCAGGTAGGACTAAAGGGCCTTCGTGCTTCAGGAATTTGAGCAACTGCTGCAGGTGGTGGCATAAAAAGAGGATTTGGTGCAAATGGGACTGGGGGTGGAGGAATGGGTTGAGGTAAAGCCATTTCAGGAGCAGGAGCAGGATTTGGGGCATGCTGAGGTATTCCCAGATCAATGGGAGCAACATGCCCTGGGTAGTGCACACCATGAGGAGCATGACAATGCTGGGGGCTATTCAATGTGTGATTGTCATGTTCTGCACTCTGTGCAGCAATTCAAACTCGTCAAGGAGTATTCAGAGGAGTTTCAGACCTTCAATTTTAGTTATATCAGTTTCAAGACTGAAAAATCTCATCAATTAGATATATACATCTTGAGAAATGAAATATGCTGGGGTTTAATGATGAGGACAGTCTCAAGGTCCTGATGTTCAATCAGGCAAAGGCAGAGAAAAAGCGAAATTGGTGTGAAAAATGGTAGTTGATAATGGAGTGATCATGATTTTCTGCCTATTTTTGAATAGATTACCATATATGGAAATAGGCCCTAGTCACTGAAAAAACACCATCCAAGTAAAAAACACTCCCAGTCCTGGTTGGTCCAACCCTGATTTAGTCCTCAGCTGAGGTAAAATTCAGCCCTTAGGACTGGTTTGAGTCCTGCCAAGCTCAGTCCTGCTCCTTTTTCCTTCCCTACCTTCAGTAGATTATGATATCCTGTTCCAACCTGTGAGATGGTATGTGTTCTATGACGAAGACTCAGAACTTGTTCATCCATATCTGCCTATGTATTTACACTCAAGGTGATCCTTACTGCTCAACTTCATGGGTTTCATGGGCCCAACATCTGGCCCATGAAAAGAAAACAAGAGTTCAATTGAAACATAAGTCACCAGGTGAGATGGAGATGGGGAGGGATGGGAATGGGATGTCCTCCTGCATGTCCTCACTCATTTTCTGGCCTGCTCAGTCTGTACCACAGAGATACCAATATATTGAACCAAGATATTCAGAATTGTGGGGATGTGCCACATCCTGCAGGTGGATAAAAAAGGAAAATTTCCTTATTTGGTAAGGCATAGTAAGATTCTTTTCCTCCACTAGACCCATTCTACTATATAAGGAGATAAGCTGACAAAGAATCTCCCTATTTGGTAACCTCCTTGGCTCTGTCCTTGGCTCTATAACACTCTGCATGTTCCTCACTCCAGGTGTGTCCATTTCTATGAAAAGCAGCAATTCAACTTTTTTCTATCAAATGTGCCTTATTTGTGCTCATTGTAGCTATACCTCTTTTGTTATTCTCAATTTCCATGAAAATAGTGTTGCAGCTGTTATACTTCCCCCATGTCCCTCTGGCTGTGTCTTTTTCAAAATGTGAGAACAAACTACTCAACTTAAACCTACTCACCTGTAATCTTTCCCCAATATCAGTGGTAAATAATTTTTCTGCATTAGTAGCCAGTGCAACTAGCAATTTCAGAGTTGGTGCCACTTATATACAATTTATGAACCACAGCGCAGCTCAGTCCTCAATTGTGCCATTATTCTGTGTTATGGGGGGTATTCCCAGTGCTACCTGTACTAATCAAAACTCATACACTTGGGGTGTCACCCTGGTGTCCTGATTTTCAGGCACCTTTCCATCTTTTTTCTGAGAGTTTTTTCATTGCACTTCTTGTAGTTGGACAGTAGTAGATCTCAATCCCATCCAAAAGTGACAAAGCACTAGATCAACTGGACAAGGTGGATGAAAGTGACAGTGAAGCTCTAGATCAACTCAGTCAAATTTTAGCAGATAAAGATGTGGAGGTTGAGACTGTGCAACCTCAAGTTGAACCAGAAGGCATTCAAGCCTGACCCATGTGGAGGGTGTTTCTTGCATGGCTCAAGTTGATAGTCATCCACTTCAGAACAACACACATCATTTCACACCTCAACAGCAACTGTAATCATCCAATGGTTATAAAACTCTTGGAGCACCCTCTACTTGATAATACCACAATTAACACAAAAAAATTATTTGACTAGTATATACCTCCTGCAAGTGGAAGTGCATCTAACACAACAAATGATGACATCCTGTGTTTCCTTGACACAATAGCACAATCAAACCCCAAGTTGGGTGATGATGACAATGAGGATCTCAAAAGAATGCTGGAGTGAGGCTGCTACTACAGAGGAAAAGACAAAGACAGGACTCCTAGTCACTGCTAATAGGCAGGTAGACCCAACTTGAAGGGTGAATGAAGCAGTGGGTGGCCAACTTTGAGGTCTGACCATCAAGGCTGTGACTAGTAAGTAGTAAGTAAGTTTGCATATTGAATATACTGAACAACTTCATAACTTCAATTAGAGTTGGAAGCTACTAGTACTTGACCTGAGACCATCATCATATAGTACACTACAGCAGAATGACATTGATCATATTCAAAAAGTGCAATGTAGCACTAGTAGCACATGGCAAGTCAGAAAACAATTTTTAAAAGGAATGTAAAAACATCATAGCAAAGACTCTGAAATACACAGACTTGGAGAAGCCAGATCATTAGATTCAGGCAAGGGTAGTTGGCCAGTGTGTCTTGCAGTATAGTCTCCACATGCTGAGCAAAAATATCAAGTAACTCCCTGGTTTGGAAGTTGAATGCAAACTGAAGGAGGACTATACCTGGCATGCTGCCAAGTAGCCTCAGAGTTGTGAGGCACAACTATGATGCATCCAATCAATTAAAGGTGTAACATAGTCAGACTAGACTTGGAAAGCTCACCTCCAGCAGAACTCCTGAAAGGATACTGCTGGGAATTACTACATCACAGTGGTGGTTGCCCTCCCTGAGGATGAGGCAGGATCTAAATGACGCCTGCTTCAATTTGTCTTTCTTGGTGATGCTGTAAGTTTGATGCAGCCTCTACAATGACAAGAGGGTTGTCCATGAAATGTGGGTGATGAAGGAGTTGGTGGAGGCAAAGCAAAAAGATTTCATGGGTCAGTGGGTCCCCATTGGTGTTGACATCCTTTCAGTACAAAAACCAATGTTAGCTCAGTTAGAGTTGATAAAGCTAGGAACTGACCCCGATTATAATCATCTTTGCCAAGAACAAGGTAACACTATCTGGATTCATGGGATTGGGGAGCCAGATCCCAAAGAGAGAAAACATGTAAGATGCATGTGTAACCCATATGGTTAGTGTGTCGTGGTGTTACCAACTCCTGTCTATCAGGAGATAGTGTCAAATGATGTTCCAGGTGGAAACCCTGACCCACTCAGAGCTAATTTGATGCAATGTTTCATTATCCCAGATAAATTCAAAGTTGACTACTCACATGGCTGGTATTCCACTGAATCCAGAACCATCAGGCTGTATGCTGCATGGGTTTCAGACAACTAGACATATGCTTTGAGTGACTTCTCTGGGCTTGTTTGATTTCATGTTGTCAGCCATGATGGAGGCTTGTCAAAGGCTGACCTTGATAGAAACCCTCAACCTGTATGTCTTCCTGCTCTTGTTTGTGTCAGAGCTAAAATCATCTATCAAATAGTCATGGACCAGTCTTTTCAGCTCTGCCTTGGTTGAGGTCCTGACTGGCATTTGGAGACAGAATTGGCAAGACAGGCTCTAGACAGGTGGAGAGCTGATGTTTGTCAGGAATATCAAATCTATTTGCAAGAGATAGGTGCTCTTCACCAGGCACATGCAAAAGCACATTCCAATCAGAGGATTGACTCATTCTTTGCAAGAAAGTACCTCCATTTATTCATTGGGAGGCTGAGATATATTAATTTTTAATTTTTACAGATCTACAGGTGCTCTTGAAGAAAGGGAAAGGAGAGCCCTTGATACAAGTCTACTTCCCAACCCTCCCAGAAGGCCCATTATTTGCAACAACCCATTTGGTGCCTTTAGTGGATTTGGTTGTCACTGTGCCAATGACTTTCTTTTCTTACAGCCATTTGCGGTACCCAAGGCGTGGCATCAATTTTTTAAAATTCCACTGCTTTTATCGTGAAAATACTGCGCAGCTCCTAGTACACGCAAAACGCGTCCGATGGGGACGTATTATGACTCAAATTGACCGCCTTTTCAGTGTGGAGGGCATGGCGCAAGTTTTATTTGAATTGAATCCAATTCGATCGCGTTATTTCGTAGATATTGTATTATAAGATATGTTGGCTTTTATTCGTGTTCAAAAAGCTCAGTTCTTCCAAGACTTGAAACATATGTGTATTGCATGTATTTGAAAAGCCCCGTGAAGTTTGAAGACAATCGGGCTGGGATTCGTGATTCAATTGATGAATTCACGAGCCGTCACGTGCATGTTACATCTCTCTCGCCGCAACCACGACATTTCTGACCTCTAGCACCCAGATATGCCACGAAAAGTAAACCTCAGCCCTGCTTGAGTGCATTACTCATGAGATCTCAAGCAAAGGGTCATATATCAAAGCTACACACTGATGAAAACTACAACAGAGATTGCCATCGATCTCAACATGCCTGTTCATGTTGTCCAGCGTGTCTTGATGAATTGGCGGGAGATTGGAGATGTTTGCAAGGATAGAGCACACATGGGCAGAGCCCCACTTATGAAACAGGATAGCATAAAGGTGTGTGTCAGAATTTGTGCTCTTTTTGCAAGTGACGTTCCGCATATTGTAATAGCTGATGCTTGGGCTCCTTGAACGGTGTCCAGACATGTACCTCGACGAAATTCAAGAGCAGTTGGAGGAACAGAACAACGTTATTGTTTCCTTAGCCACCATCTACAGAAGCCTTCGTCGTCTAGGCATCACATCCAAAAAGGTGCGATCTTTTGCTGTCGCACAAGTTTGGCTCTTATGTATTTTTTCCTGCCTTGATATTAGCTCTCGAGGGCCGCCCAAGAACGCTGCGAAGAGGCATGTCGAAATTTCACGTTAGAGATTGGCGGTGAGCCCCCAGAGAGACTTGTAACAGCTGATGAGGCTGCTGTGAACATCCTCAAGTCATATTGTGAAAATGGATGGGCACCCTGAGGCATGCGTGCACAGAAACGCACTAGATTTACTCGCGGTGCTAGGTACATTCGACATTATGAGAAGTGAGCATCCCATGGATAACCATTCACTAGATACTCTATGCTCCCTGCGATTTCGACGAAGGGCCTCATCTATGAGCATATAAAGGTGGGCAGTTATAATGGCGACGAGTTTCTTCAGTGGCTAGAAGGCCTTCTTGTGATCATGAACCCATACCCTGCACCTCTGAGTGTTCTCATTTTGGATAACTGCCGCATTCATCATGTAGAAGGGGTAGCAGAGATGTGTGAAGAGAGGTACTATTTATCTTCCTCCATGCATGACATCTTTTTCTGATCTTTTCAAGGGGGGTAAAGCTAGTCTATCTGCCGCCGTACTCGCCTGATTTGAACCCCATTGAAGAGTGCTTCTCATTCATCAAACACTACATCTGTCGGCATGGCCAGGAGTTCCGAGATGCTGTGGAGCTTGGCGATGATGCTGCTCCCTTTGTGTTCTTATATGGAGCACTCGATCAGGTCACTGAATCACATGCAATTGGGTGGTTCAAGCATTCAGGTTATATGTAATGTGCAATAATAATCTACATAGCTACGGAATTTGTAATTGTTCGCACCTGTAATTTACTTCTTCCTTGAAAGACGGTCAATTTGTTTCTTCTCTGCCTTGACCCTCCCCAAAACGAATCGAGCATTTCCAAGAGACATTCCAAAGTCATTGCGCAAGCGATCTTCATCAAACTCTATAATTTCTTGCAATCCGAAAATGTCATGTTGTTGGAAAATATCAGCAAAGGTTGCAAGGGCTGGACGTTCAGGATGACGGGTGAGTAACGTTGAAAAAAAGTCGGCAAGAAGTGGATATTTTGATTCATCTGATTGGGTACCATGAGATGATGCGGTAGAGGTGCGATTTAGTGTTTGGGTGGGAGCTGATGTTGGAGCGGGAATGGTGGTTGGTGGTGGCGGGGGTGCAGTGGGGTAGGTATACGGGGGATAATAATATGGCGGTGGCGGAGGCGGCCATTGAGAATGTCCGTATCCCATGGTATGCAGAGCTTCAACATGAGGTGGTGGAGCTGATGAGGAGGAGGTTGGTTGGGTGAAAAAGGCATTGAATAATGGTGCTTTCGGAGGGGTGCGGAGAGTGACACCATGGCTCGACAGCGCCTGAATCAATGTTAGCCAAATAATGATTGAAAAAGTCAAATGTACCAGAGCATTTGCCCAAGCACATCGTTAGTGTCACATAAGGAATCTTCGCTGCTGCAGAACTGAGTTTGTATGCTAAGATAGGTCACCGTGGAATATCGATGCAGGGAACAGCCATTAGAATAGCATTGACGGCCAATTTGAATGTCGTGCCCCACTGCAGAGTGATTCGTTGGATGCTGGTGTCCTCCACTTGCGGTACCAATAGCACAATCTCTACAAAATATAAGGAGAGAAGTAGAGGGCAAGGAATGAGGGCGACGTACTGCGCTGTTTGTTTTTACGGGTCTCTGCTTCTTCATCATCCTCGTCATCTTCCAACTCAATTGCGGCTCCCTTATTCTTCTCAGTTGTTGCTGAATGCTTTCCTGTATTCGCTTTAGGTCGCTTTGAGATTGTAATGGTTTCGACGGATGAGGATCCTTCTTTGCGCGATGTAGGCAACTTGATTTTGAGGGCAGATGTTGGTTGAATTATAGCATCAGTAGGGTCATCGGAATCAGAGTTAGCTGCGGTATAGATATCTGTAGAATTGGCTTCTGGGTCGTCTAGAATCTCTTGCAAGTCTTCATCAGCTAGAGTGGTGTCCATGGGTTCCACAGGAGTCGGGCTTGGTGGGAACCAGAGTGGAGGATCAGGATCAGAAAGTCCAGCTGTTTCCGATATTGCGGCTGCAGTAAAACGTGCTGATCTTCGAGTAGGAGTCTTGGGACTAGCTTCGGTAGGCTTTCTCTTGCGTTTCTTGCTGTTCTTCGCATTGGCCATGGTGTGCGTTGTGGTTGCGGCGAGAGAGACGTAACGTGCGCGTGATGGCTCGTGAATTCATCAATTGAATCATGAATCCCAGCCCGATTGTCTTCAAACTTCACGGGGCTTTTCAAATACATGCAATACACATATGTTTCAAGTCTTGGAAGAACTGAGCCTTTTGAACACAAATAAAAGCCAACATATCTTATAATACAATATCTATGAAATAACACGATCGAATTGGATTCAATTCAAATAAAACTTGCGCCGTGCCCTCCGCACTGAAAAGGCGGTCAATTTGAGCCATAATACGTCCCCATCGGACGCGTTTTGCGTGTACTAGGAGCTGCGCGGTATTTTCACGGTAAAAGCAGCGGAATTTTAAAAAATTGATGCCGCGCCTTGGGTACCGCAAATGGCTGTAAATGCAATATTTTCAGGCATCCCATCTTACCTCCTCTGCTCAAATGACAACTTCTGTGAAGATTTTAAAGATGCTATCTATTCTTAGGTTACCCAAATTTCCTTTATATAGTTCTACCAGCTTGTCTCTTCCATTCCAAACAGAAGGCAATTTCTGAGGCTGGGCAGGCTGGGGAGGGGGAGCTGTCTGATGATGGAGGGATGGTGCTGACTGTCAGAAAGATCTCATCATACTGCTAATCAGCTGCTTACTGGAACTCTGGCAGGTAGTGAGTGTTGGAGCTTATTGTCCAGCATGCACTGCATAGCCAATATGTGGGTGCTTCCTTTAATGAATTGCTGTTGGTACAGGGAATAGTCAGTCTCTAAATTCAATATCCGAAAGCTGGTTCCATAGACTCACCATACCAGCCTGTGCGAATGAGCTCTGGCAGCTGTCACAGAGGGCAGCTGTACCATATGCACTGCAAGTCTTCATATTTGGGGGGAAAAGCAAGGTGTGCCTGCAGCAGTCCATTACCCTGAAGTAATCAGCCATCTCTTTCACCCCTGAACCATTGGTGCTGTGGGAAGGCATCTCCCTCAGATGCCAAAATATGGTGATGTATGCAGATTGGTGAGTTCTTTCTGCTGTCCCAGATTTGCACAAGAACCTAAAGATGTTTCAAGGTGCTGAGTAGTAAATCACCAATTTCAAATTGACATCCTCATGGCCAAAGTCCACTCCCATGTTGCTGACCATTGCCTGTGCCTTCATGTCCCCTTCATGCCAGGATTTCACCACAGATTCCCTAGCATCCTCATTCCCATTTGCATGATAGGTGACACATGGAAGTGCACCCACAAATTCCTTGGCAACCACCTCAAAAGAGCAAAACATGACTGCACTGTCCTCTGTTTAAAATTTGCCCAAGGCCTGCTGAATGTGGTTAAGGATGGTGAGTGGTTGGTCCTTGGTGAGGAGAAAATGGCCTCCTCCACATGACAGTTGGCAGAGCCCATGTACTGGCAAGCTGAGTAATGAGTACTAGGAGTCAGAAAAAAAGAATCCTGGACCAGCTGAGTGTTCCCATATCAGAGGTCTTTATTGTCCCCACTGATTCCTGCCAGAATCCAGCAGAATCTGGGAAATTCCTGGAATTCCAGAGGAATCAAATTTGGCGCAGAGGCCTGTGTAGTTGATTATTGAAGTGCATATTCTAGTCTAACCTGTTGGATAATAATGTAGCTCAAGTCCATGCTGTTGAAATGGATGGTATTATGTAGTGTTCAGGACTGATAGATAATACACACAATTTCTTGTTTTCATTGCTTCTCAAATACCACATTACCACAATGAATGCAGTATTATGCATGGCAAAAGCTGGGATCAGGCTCAATTGAACAGATTCAAAGGATTGAGTTTACTATATAGCCTCCTTTTGGAGCTTAATATCTCAGCAAAAACCTGAAGAACCTTCCCACAAAAGATGGCATCCAATGGACCAGTATTGCAGCCTGCAGAAATAATTTATATATTTTTATAAAGGACCCCAGACACCCTTTGTCAGCTTTGGTATGATGGTATGGTATGGTATGGGGTCATTTGGTATGGTATGGGATGACATGGTATGGTATGGTAACATGGTATTGGGATTGAGCTCATATACCACCCTGGAATGGGTACCCCCAAGGTACCCTAAATCAAGGAATTGATGTACTTCATAGGTACCCTAAAATGGGTGACTGAAGTGAGATGTTTCCTATGAGCCCTGGAATATGGAAATAAAGCACAAACTTGCCATAATATGACATGCTCTGTCTTTTTTGTTGATCTCCCCAAAAAGAAGATTGTGCCAAGGTTGAACATTGATGCACACCATCTCACAAATGGGGCCCATGTTTCCCAGCAACTACACACTTCCTATGAGCTCTAAAATGTAGAAATCAAGTGAAAACTTACCAGAATATCATATGTTCTTTGTTTTTGATGCTGTCTCCCTGAAAAACACTTGCTACAAGGCCAAACATCGATGCATAGCTTCTCAAAAACACAGTCTGTGTTTCCCACTCACTACACAGCTCCTATGAGCCCCAAAACATAGAAATTGAGTTAAAACTGACTGTAATATCATGCTCTTTGTTTTCGGTGGTATGTTTCCAAAAGAAAATTGCAACAAAGTCAAACATTGATGTGCAGCTTCTTGCAAATGAGGCCTGTGTTTCCCACTAACTAGAGGTTCCAGTGACCTCCAGATGCAGAAATCAAGTGAAAAGTTACCATAATATCATATATACTTTGTTTTTGATGCTGCACCCCCAAAAACACTTGTGACAAGGTGAAACATCGGGCCCATGTTTCCTGCTTGCTACACAGTTCTTGTAAGTGCCAAAGCTCTTTGGTGTCCCCCCCAGAAAAATTGTGATGAGTTCGAACATTGAAGCACAGCTTCTCACAAATGGGGCCCATTCTTGCCACTAACTAGATGCTTCTTATGAGCTTCAGAACATAGAACTCAAGTTAAAACTTACCAAAATATCATATGTTCTTTGTTTTTTATGGTGTTTTCTCCCTAAAAAAGAATTGCAATGAGTTTGTGTCCTTAAAACCTCTTATTCAAAAGTCTCCAAGTAAGTTGACTCCCCAAGCATGCTGGCTTCGTTCACACTGAACTTATCTGACCACGAAGAAATCTCCTTTTAATTGATTACAATTGTCCACCTCCTAAGTCTCTACTTGGATGCATCAGTCTTTGATGTGTATGCGGGAATTGCCATACATGACTTTCTGAATGGCCATGAGCCGTCTTTTCTGTGTTTTAGACATACCATTAGGCGTCTATGTCGTCTTTCTGTATATTTCTTGTATAAGTATGAGTTTCCACATTAAATACATTATGTGTTTCTAAACCGTTTGGTAGTAATGCAATTCTTCTCCCTGCGTTGGGTGTTTACTCTAGAACCTCTTTGTGTTCTATTTCATGGTAGGTGAATCTTAGATAGGATCAAAGTATAGTGTCACGACGCGTGCTGCTGCCAGTTCCAAAGCCCTCATCCTACTTTCAGATTCTACGCATTAGGTAGTTTTGCAGAAGAAAAGTTGAAGTTGCAGTGGTAGTTGTCAGAAGGATGTTTGGCTGCAGCAGATGACACAAATAAACTTCGACTTATTCAGGAAAATAAGTTTTCTTCCACTGTAGAGCCACTGTTCTCAGAAATCAATTAGGACAAATCAAAGATTGGAAGTACTTATATGCACAGCTGCTGCCCTGAGGGCAATGTCTTTGTCCAGAATTGAGCTTGCAAAGACATCCAAGGTGACAACTTTATGATACTTTTTATGTGGATCTTTCAGACTCAGCAGTGATGGGCCATTAAACAACTCTTTGAGAAATGTGGTGAATGCTGGATCTTAAAATGGGAGCCACTAAGAGGAGTTGCAGATCAGTTTAAAGGACCCATGTTCTGGAAGAGAGCACATTGAGGTTAAACCCAGAATGGGTTATAGTCAAAGTCTCATTGATTACATCTGTGCTTTCAAACTCAACCTGTGACTGGAGCAGCCCAAATTGTTTCAGAAATTCTTCATGTCCCTTTCAAGCAAGGTAACCAGATTTTAGAATTATAGAATATTGGCAAGTTATTGTAGGAGGTCTACAAAGCAGGTTGAAAGCACAATATTGGCAAATTTTTGTAGAATGTCTGGAAGATATGTTGAAATTATCCTCTTTTGTTATGAGTCTGCCACGATTTTAGTAGTTGGCCTCTTTTTGTAACCATGCTGTCTGAATCATCGAATATTGGACAGTTATTGTAGGAAGTCTGGAAAATGGGTTGAAAAATTATTCTCTTTTGTTACAAGTCCTCCACAAATCTTGTTGTTGGCCTGGTAATAGAATATTTATATCCTCCTTGCAAACAATTGTGGAATATTGGCAAGTTATGTAGGAGGTCTGGAAAGCTGGTTGAAATTTATTCTCCTTTGTCATTGGCTGCCAGAATTGCAAGATTTTGGCAGAGCAACGCAGAATTTTATCCAAGGCTTATAATAATTAGTATATTTACCACATTTTGCTTAGTTTGCACAGCATCTTCAAAATTATCCATAACTTTACTAATGGGGTCAAAGTGGTGCCACATTGTTTTGAAGTGACAAATAGGCTTCATTCAACAAGATATCAGGATGATGGTCACATGACCAATTACCAAAAATAGCCAAAAACAAAAGCTGTAGCTCTACACTGTGGCTTACTGAATCTGTATGAAGTATGTTCAAAAGTGCTCCCATTGTGCAGATATGAGGTAAATAAGGGGGAGTGGTGGTGTAGTGGCACCACTGCTCGCCTCTTGGTGCACTCAAGCCAGGAGGTTGGGGGTTCAAACCCTCCCCAAGACCATTCCCAGACTACATGTTGACACTGGGGATTTTTGCTGCTACTATTGACACCTGGGAGATCGTGGGATTAGGGAGGATGTGCTGGACACTCAGTGATATTAGCCAGGTGCTGCAAAGGCTGGAATGCTGTCTGTCATAGTGGGAGCCATGGGATGTTGGAACCATCCCTCAGGGTTGCCTCTTTGGGAAAGTGGGACTGTGGTCTCACCGTGTTGGGAGTTCTGTGGCGATGGGACCAGTGATGGAGTGGCGGTGCAGTTGCTGGAAGGAAATCACTCCAAAGTTAAATAAACCAATACAACAAACTTAACCAGTTGCAGGCCAGGTTCAACACCGTTCTATTCTTGTATCAAGAAAACCTTCATTGACCTAGGAGATATATTGGAATGTAAAAAGATGTCATGGGTGCCAACAGCATGCATGGATATTACAGGTGCCATGTTGTTTCTAAGGCTGAGGGTCATGCCAAGAATGAATAGTCAGGAAACACCTGGACCTTGGTCCCAAGATGTGGTCATCAAAGGGGAGCAGTAGTTATGTAGTTTGTATACTTTCATGACATTCTCTTCAATGGAGCCAGGAAAACATTTTTGTGAGTATTTTGGCTACATGAATGCATTTGAGGCCATTTTGTCATAGAATGGTAGTGGAAAACAATAAATTAAAACCAAGAATGCCACAATACCAAGATGTGCCAGATTGTGCACATGCATAAAAAAGGAAATTTGCCTTATTTGGTAAGGCATATTAAGATTCTTTTCCTCCACTGGACCCATTCTACCATACAAGGAGATAAGCTGACAAATAATCTCCTTATTTGACTTGCCTTTGTTCT